TTCTCCGCAGAGGGTCCGCCTTATATCCCCGCTTGACCGTTTTCTACTTCCAGGTTGGCTCGCTCGACCTTCGCCGCGTAGCGGCGCCGTCCGGAACTACGCGCGGACGCGTGAGCGCGTGGGCCGCCAAGTTGCGGGTGCACTATTGTATCGCGGATTGTGCTTAATGTGACGACCTACGGCAGCCACAATATCCATTCGATTATTCGTGTTTATTTGGATTGACAACAATATGGATTAGAATGTAATGATTTTAGATTGGAAATAATCCGCGAAAGCGATATTAAAACCGATTATAGTTCGTTCGGAATTAAAATCGATTACTTTTTAATCCGGGCGCGGATTTAACCGATTAAAACCGATTAAAACGGATTATGTTTTAATCGGTTTGAATCGACCATTTTCCGCAGGGGGTGGCCGGTGCGGAATGCAGCCCGAAGGGCATTACCGTAAATTGATACAATCCCCGTCCTGGGATCGTAAACGCGGTGACCGGTCGGCTTGCGGGTTTGAGCAGTATTTGCCAATACCCGTTTTTTAAGTCCAGTGTTGTTAAGTATCGCGCGCCCCGTAGTTTGTCGAGTGTTGCGACTACTTGCGGTAACGGGTATGCACCTTTCTCCGTGACGTCATTGACCTTGCGGAAATCGATGCAGAAGCGGTACTTTCCGTCTTTCTTTTTGATGAGCATTACGGGAGAGCTCCAGGCACTCTTGGATGGTTCGATTACTCCGGCGGCTTCCATTTCCGCTACTTCTCGATCGATGACCGCTTGCATGGCGGGGTTGCGTGGTCGGTAGCGCTGTTTAATCGGCGTCGCGTTCCGGAGCCGTATTTCGTGTTGTACGCGGTCGGTCGGCCCCTGGATATGCGCGAATTTTTCCAATTCTCGGTCGAGAAACTTTTTCAATTGTGTTTCTTCCGCTGCGGTACGCGGGGCCAGTCCCCCGCTGGTCCCGTGTATTGGCGGGGTGCTCGACCCGGGGGTGTATCGTGGTGGACTGAAGGTAAACTGTTCCGCCACCTCCTGCACAGCCTGGATTTCAAAGAGAACACAGCGGACGAGCAGTGGAAGGAGTGCGTAGCGAAGGAGCAACGACCAACAGTGATGCGTAATTATCACGACGTACCAACCGCGGGCCACCTCGGAATCGCCAAGACAATCGCCCGAATCGCCGAACACCACTATTGGCCGGGAATGTTCCGGGACATCGCCGTATATGTACGCACGTGCGAGAAATGCCAAGCGCACAAAGCGGCCCAGCAACAACCAGCCGGTAAGCTCCATGCAACCGATGTGCAACGACCCTGGGAGCAGGTCACCACCGACCTCGTCGGACCACGCTCACGACAAGGCCACACATGGCTCTATGTGATGCAAGATCGGTTTTCAAAGTGGGTGGAATTAACACCTCTCCGCCAAGCCACTGCCAAAGTCACGAAAGCCATCACCGAGAGGGTAATACTCCGACACGGCCGACCAGAAACCATCCTGTCAGATAACGGCACGCAATTTACATCAAAAGACTTCGCCGAACGGCTAAAAGCCTTCAACGTGCAACACAAAACCGCACCCGCGTATGCGCCGCACTGTAATCCGGTGGAAAGAACGAATAAAACCATCAAAACGATGATCAGCGAGTTCGTCGACAAGGATCATCGAGACTGGGACGAACACCTGCCCGCCTTCCAATTCGCGTTCAATACGGCAGTACACGATGCCACCGGCTACACACCAGCATATCTGAACCACGGGCGAGAGCTCGTGCCACCACACCGCATTGCACCAGCAACCGGAAGACCAACGCCAGACACCATCCGAGAACGGCTAGACGACGCATACAAAATCGTCCGCATTCAATTAGCGAGAGCTTTCCAGAGGCAAGAAAGATATTATAATCTCAGACGACGCGACTGGAAGCCACGCATAGGAGACTGAGTGTGGAAAAGAGACCACCCGCTGTCAAAGAAGGCCGACAATTTCAATGCGAAACTCGCGCCAAAATACATCGGGCCGCTCGAAGTTTGCGAATCGTCTCGCCCGTCATCGTAGACCTGAGGAGCAAGCGGGGAAAATGGTACTGACACGTACACGTACAAGATCTGAAGGCCGCCAGAACCAAACAAACCGGCGAAAACAATGCCGAAAACAACAACAGCGGGGACGAAGATGACGATACCCCCACCACCGCCGGGGAGGAATAAACCGCCGAAATCGAAAGCTAACGGCACAGACCGCAACGATGAGTCAACCCGACGACATCCTTGCTGCGATAAACCAGCTCCTGGACGATCCGCTGTTCGCCTACGATCCGCCGCTGCCAGGACCGTCCGACCAACGAACACCGCCGACGAGTAGCCGTCCGACAACCGGTCCGACCGCCCGACCACCGAGCCGACCGCCGAAAATCGGCACGCTGATTCAGCGTTCCGACCGGCAGAACCAGCTCAAGATGCAGCAGCTGATGCAGGCATCACCACCGCCGCCTGCCCGCTCGCGACCGCCAGCGAGCACTCCGGCCCGCAAGAGATCGCGGGAAACCGAGAGAGAGACCGGCGAAGACCAGCCGCCTCGCCTTCTGATGCCGACTGGCTCAGTACCGCCGCCACCGATCCGCGTGCAAGTGGAGCCCGGCATCATATTTGACGTGCCCACTTCGCCGTGCACGTGGCCCGGAAATATAAGATCCGGTCATCGCAGGGGCATTGGGTGATGAGATTCTCCAAGACGGGAGAATTGAGATACCGCCGCCGGCTTAATTAAAATTGCGAGCAAAGTACGCCGACCAACGCGTAATGCCTCAAATTCAGGCATATTCTACGAGGGGGGGTGATGTAACGATGCATCCCCCCATCGTTACGAAACCGTACCCGGCCGCCGATCCGCCGGAAGTCCGCCGCCCGATGAACACCGGTCGGGCAAATGCGGAGGCGCCGAGCGCCCATTTTTAAACGATAACAGAAACACGCGTTTATTAAACCGCCGTTAGGCGCGCGTAAACATCTCGAATCGACGACGCGCTCGGGTAACCGACCCGAGCTGTACCAAAAATACCCGAGCCGCGCGCGTCGCTTCGAGATATTACCGTTAGAACAATACGCGAATTACGCAGACGCGCGCGCCGGAGAATTAGTATAAATAGAGCGCGTTTCTAATTATCGAGACCAGATTCTTCGATCCGCCAGCGTCTGTAAGACGCCTGAGCTAATTCCGAGATCCTTAACCGCTCACCAGAGAAAGAACCACGGGGTTGGGCGTACCCAGCCTCCGCCGGGAGTTTACGGCATCTCTGAGAGCGATCCTTTCCGAACAAATTAAGAGGTACACGGGATCGGGCGTACTCGACCCCGCCGGGAGTTCTCGGCCCCTCGCTAGCTTTCCGTCCACCTTAGGCATCGGCAAAATTCTCGTGGCAAGAGAGTTCCCTGCCACAGACGGGAGTTCTCATCGGCCGACGCTTCCCGAAATCCGCAATCGCGATCCCGATACGCGAATATAAAATCCGACCGTAAGACAACTCGACGGACCGACTGTTAGCCGCCATAATTAAGGCCGACGCGTCATTATTACGGGAGCGCTAAGTCCCGCGTCGAGGGCCGATCTGCGCCCTACCGCGACACCGATCGACAGCCAAAATCGATACCCGCGTCGAAGGACCGCCCAGCGCCCACCGACGCGGCCGCAAAGGACCACCCGACAGCTAACGGCTCCTGCCGGATTTAAGCCGCGCGATTAATAATCGATACGCGACCGAACACCCGAAAACGCGAACCGCGCTGCGCACTATCGCGGTGCATTGTATGCACCCTCCGACTTTATACATACTCGCAAACCGATATTACACGTACTCGCACACATACATTGCGTAACCGCACACACACATTGTACATACTCGCATCTATATTTTATACGTACTCGCACACATACAGTGCGTAACCGCACACATACATTGTATATACTCGCATCTATACTTTTTACATACTCGCACACGTACATTGTCCGTTCTCGCACTCGTCACTCGTCTCGCGCGCACACACACTCGCACACCTCGTACACCTATACACACACGCACGATGTACCACCACACATTTACACGCAATAAATTACATTCTACCAAACATCAAAGCGCATTCGTGTCTCGATACCGCTTTCCCGAACCCAGGATCCCGACTGAGTTATCTGTCGCCCGCCTCGCGAAAGCGGCTTGTTACAATTTTATTGAATCCTATATAGGCAATAAAATATTGCGTAAAGTAGCTCCATTTAACTATACCTATAAATTCATTCACTTTTGTATTACTGTAACATCATACAGTTGAAGAATGGTCTACATGATGTTACAGTAATACAAAAGTGAATGAATTTAAAAGTATAGTTAAATTGAGCTACTTTATACAAGATTTTATTGCGTATATAGAATTCAATAAAATTAACGAATGTCAATTTTACATAAATAAAACTGTACGGTATTATTGTGAGATAATATAACATAAAGTGCCACAGAGGATGCCAAAAAAGATAAATAAAGTACCATAGAAGATACCAAAGACGACAAAGTATTTTTTATTTTAAGTATACAAAAATTTTGAGGCTGCAATAGTTTTTGAGTTATAAGCGATTAAAGTTTGCCAATGATATCGCATAAGACTCCTGCGCTCAGGCTCGTAACTACACTTACACGCGTACCGATCTGTCATCTGTTATTGATTTTTTAAAATCAGATAATATTGATTTTTACTGCACAGCTGGATGCTTGGTTCGTGCCTCCTCCGGCCTTAAATCTCCCCCTCGCTTCACTCTGCGGTGTACAACTGCGCCAGCGTAAGTGCTGGTAATCTGTCCACTAGATCCACCACGTGGTGACGGTGGAAGATCGTATTATTAATTGAGAGCAGAAGAGGGGGCTGCTTAGGCGCTTAATTAAATTTTTAGGAGAGGTTTGGTAATTTCCCTCTCCAAGGATTTTTGAATCGTCTGATTTTTTTTTATTTTTCCTCAGTTTTATTTTTTATCTCGTCTTCATTTTTAAAATTCTTATTTTTATTTTCTTCTTTATTTAAAGTTTTTTCTTCGTCTTCATAATTGATTTCTTCGATAATAATATTTTCTTCAGTTGTCTTTTAGTAAAACCGAAGAATCCGCCGAGGAATTCGAGAGAGACCGCGAGAGAATACTACATCGCTTTACGACGTACCGCGTGCTTCACACGATAACTGCGTACCGATTCTGGTTCTTGAGATAGGGAAACCTGGCTCTCCCTCGCGAATAATTGAGTACGTTCGATGCCGCTGATTTGATTCCGAGATGACGAATTACTTGAGAGACGAACCGAGAGATTTATCACTTAACCAGAACCGCGAGACGAATCCGAATTCAGAGTGGTTTATAACTGTCCTAAAGGCAACGTGCGTCACGATAGACCGGTACTCACAGAATGATCGAGGATTTCCGGAAGGGTCGATATCGACGCAGGAGCGCGGATAAGGTCCTGAGAGCGTGCTTATGATTGGGTGATAACATTGCGCGAGACTAGTTAGATTGATAGGACAGGCTGCGGGATTGGGTCACGGCCGCGTACAAGAGAAAAAAAGGAAGAGAGAGAGAATGCTAGAGAGAAGGACTAGAGTAAGTGAGATGCCGGTGCAAATATTGAGAAAAGGGAGCGATATTTCCTGAACAGATGTTGTAATACGTGAGTTGCGGTTAATTTTTCTCCAGGAATATGAAATCGATCTTGACTGTCCGTTATTAATTTTATAATGCTTTTTCTTTCTGTTTCATTTAAATGTTCTAATCGCAATGATTCTATGATTTCGGCAGGTCGATTCTTTCCTTTTTCTTCGGAGATTGTTAGACAATTATGCAAATTATAATTTTCAACTTCTTGTTTTCTTTTATATCTTGTTTTGCGTTTCCGCATAAATTTTTCTAAAATTTCTTGAGAGTTATTCAACAAGGATATAAGAATTCTTGAAGACGGTTTATTTTTATTTTTAATATTTCGTAGATTCGAATCTTTAATTTTTAAATTATATTTTCGAGCCTCTTCAAGGAGGTCTTTCATTGCAACATGAGAGGTTTTTAGTTCATTATCATTTTTTTCTTTAAATAATCCAACCTTAGGAAATTTGATATCTAGGGAGAATAAAGGACTTCTCCTTTTTTTGAAATAAGGTTTTGCCGAAATACGTAGTGAGGTTTTATAATTTTCCTCCTCGCAATCGACGGAGCTAGGATTTTCTGACAAGGTTTGGAAATTTCCCTCCGAAATCCTAGAATTATTCCCTTCTTGAGAGGATTGGTAATTTCTCTCTTCAAGGGTTTTTAAATTAATTAAATTTTTAGGAGAGGTTTGGTAATTTCCCCCTCCAGGAATGGTTGGATTTATTAGATTTTCAGAAGAGGTTTGATAATTTCCCTCTCCAAAGATTTTTGAATCATTCAATTCTTTATTTTTCCTCTCAGTTCTATTTTTTATCATTTCTTTATTTTTAATTTTATTCTTATTTTTATTTCCTTCTTTATTTAGGGTTTGTTCTTCGTCTTCGTAATTAATTTCTTCGATAATAATATTTTTTTCATCCACATTTTCACCTTCATTTTCAATATTCATATTATTTTCATAATCGTCGAATCCGTAAGTAGTTTCTTCTTCCTTATTCCTCGGTTCTTTTGAACTATTTAGAGCCTCAATTTTTGAGTCATGGTCGTCTAATAATTCGCTCAATGGTTTTAGGCGCAAAGTCGGAACATGTACTTCCGCCTCTTCATCTAAAGTACTTATAACGTTTAAATATGCCTTTCCGGCAACGTTCTCCACGATGGTGTCTCCCAAATAAATTCCATGTGCCACCTTTAGTCTCGGTATATATCCTACTTTTAGTTCTGGATTTTCTATTCTTACATAAAATAATGATTCGGATCGCGGAGCTACTATAATGGCTTCAGGTGATAAGAAAGGTATGTTGATTCCGGAGACATCCAAGTGCCCTTGTGCGTAATCTATTTTCGATAAAGTTTGTTTAAAGAAATCGTTTCCTAATATGCCGGATTGTGAAATTGGAAAATCGTTAGATACAATATGAAATATAACCGGTATTTCAAAAAGAGTTAATGTTAATATTGCGGTTCCTAAATCAGTCTGGTTGTTAGCTTGCTGAGAGGTTTGTAAATATTTTCTGCAATTACTACCTACATGTCCTTCCTTTTAGCAGATTTGACAAATTTCTGTTAGATTTTTAGTTTTCTGTCTACCTGAAATGCTATCTATTCCCTGTCGTAAATCTGTCATTGCTCGGAGCTCTCTCTCTATCCTTATAGCGTCGGCTGCAGTTTCTTGTACATTTAATAAATTTCTTGCAACTCGTTGTTCAATCTCTGGTTTTAACCCTCTAATAAAGCACTTGCACATGTCTTTTTCTAATGATGCTTTAATATTTTGGTCAGACGACACGTTTCCCGAACTTCTATATGTTTCTAAAATTTGCTTTCCAAGGATTTTTACTCTATTTGCATAAGTAATTACATCTTCATCACCCTTTTGGTATATACAACCCAATTCTCCTTGTAATTGATAAACGTTTTTTGCTGGTCCATAAATTTGTTTTAAATATTTAGTTAATTTAGTTAATTGATCAAAATCTTGACCTTGTATAGTTCGGCGAGCCTCCCCTATTATCCTGGTTCTTATTATTTTGGTAAACTGTGATTCAG